GGTGGCTCTGGGGCTGGAGCAGAGACGCCCAGAAGAGGAGGGGCGCCCCTCCGGGCAGAGCCCCCCGGAGCCGCGCGGAAGCTTCGAAGGAGGCGGTCGGTCAGCCTGGGCTCGGCCCCGCTCCCGCCACTCTTTGGACGGCCTCGGGGGTTTCTGTCCCGGGCTGGAGCTGTTTGCGCGCTGGGCTGGAAGCGCTCCGAAGGGCGGGTCTGCCTGTTTTTCGTGGGTCAGCCAGCCGGCTGGCGCAGGTTCCCGGGGAGGTCACAGCGGGGTGGCCCCATAGTTCCCTCTAAGCTGAGTTGGTGTGAGCTAGCTCACAGTTTTTTAGCCTCCGGCTCACACATTTTTTCTCTCCGCTCAGGAAGGATGGGGCTCCAGAGCAGACTAATTGATGCAGCAGCCAAATCGCCCGCTCGCAACTTTAATGCCAGTGGCTCACAAAGTCGAATTTTTGCTCACAAGACCCCACAGCTTAGAGGGAACATTGGACTGGCCACCCAATCCAGTCTGCTGCATGGAGACAGACAGACAGGGCATCCTTCCTTTCCCCCTTGGCTTGAAACCTTCTCTTCTCTTCTCTCCCCTCCCCGGCCCTCAAACGACCTGAACTGCAGGCGCTGGGAGTCGTGCAGCAGAGCAGGTGAACGGGATGCTGGGGGGATCCGCCCGCTTCCCTCTCCATTTACCTCCAGCAAAAACGGTGGCCGAAATTGAGTGGTCCTTTCAAACAGGGACCGGCCCCAAATTTCGGATTGCTGAACTCAGACATGGGAAACTGGAGCGGCAAAATACCCGCGTCAGGCTTGGGCAGCGGCTGGAAATGGCTGGCGAGACCACACTGCGGATCAGGGCCTTGGAGAAGGCGGACAGCGGGGTGTGGGCGGCTCGCGTCGTCTTTGCCGCCACTCATGAGGTTCATGAGCAGACCTTCCTCCTCTCTGTCTTCGGTGAGTGTCCCGGCCCCTTCCTCAGGAGCTCCACATTCTGTTTGTCCCAGTTTGTCCAATTCAGGGACTGTCCTCCAAGGAAGAAGAAGAAGAAGAAGAAGAGATTGGATTCATCCCCCGCCCTTCACTACCCAAAGGTGTCTCAGAGCGGCTGACAAACTCCTCTCCCTTCCCCTCCCCACAACAGACACCCTGCGAGGTAGGCGAGGCTGAGAGAGCTCTTGACAGAACCGGCTCTTTTTCAAGGACAGCTGTGCCAGAGCTTGTGACTGACCCAAGGTCACATCAGTGGGGGAGTGGGGAATCAAACCCGGTTCTCCCAGATTAGAGTCCGCGCACTTCACCACGACACCAAACTGGGCACCTTGACGCATTTTTTTAACTCCCCTCTGAGCAGACCCGGTTCCAGATCCTCAGATCCACCCTCAGCTGACCTCCAGGACGGCGGAGGGGTGCAACGTCACCTTGCAGTGCCTGGCGACTGAAAAGGGGGAATTCAACGTCTCCTGGAAAAGAGGGAACCCGTTTAGTGACCTAGAAGAAGGGTCGGGCCGGTACCGGCTCTCTGCGGAGGGCACGGAGCTCCACCTGTCCTGGCGGCCCAACTCCTCGGACTCCACCGTCACCTGCCTGCTCAGCAACCCCGTGGACCAGAGGAACGCCTCCTTCGACCTGCTCAGCGTCTGCCCGAGTGAACGTAAGGGATATTTGGCTCCCACACTTTGCCCGTTATGCATTGGCTCTGCTTGGCGTGGTGGATATCTAAAATAGCCATTCAGATATTTCCTTGGATTCAAAAACAGGCGTTAAAACAAATCCCAGAAACTAAAGAGCCAGAGTCCAGGAGCCCCTTCAAGACTCAGAAGATTTGTGGCAGGGGGATGAGTTTTTGTGAGTCACGGCTCACTCCTCCAGGGTACAGCCGGAATGTGCCTCCATCAGTCCTTAGATCTTGGAGGACAGATGAGGAGTCACATTCTGGCTGTATCTGAAGAAGTGAGCCAGTGACTCCCGAAAGCTCCTCCCCTGCCCCAAATGTTGTTAGTCTTTCAGGTGCTACTGGACTCTTTTCTGCTGCTGCAGACGGACAAACATGGCCACCCGTCTTGATCTATCAAGAAGCGAGCAGTGAGTCACGAAAGCTCCTAACGCTGCCACAAATTTGGTTCGTCTTTCAGGTGCTGCTGGACTCTGGCTCTTTTCTCCTTCTACAGACAGACTAGCACAGCCACCCATCTTGATCTATCCCCAGAAACTAAACTCCAGCCCCGGCCACACGTGCCAGAAAATGCGGGGGGGGGGGCTGTTTGCGCCATCGCATTCTGCTCCGCCCTATGCGATCAGATGCAATGGCGGCACACTGGGGTTTCGTCCTTTGGGGCGCGCGCTGCAAAGAGGACGGCCGGAGGGAACAGGCGTGCACTGGCGCGATCACACCGAATGAGTCCGTCTGCAGCCCGTGGCAAACTATTTGCTAGTAGATCTTTCCAGGTACTTTTTAACTGCGCATCTTCGGCGGCACGCCAGGGGTTGGCCATGGTTGCACTACGCTTCCCAGATGTTGCAGTGTGATCGTGCCCCAAAAATCCACCCAGCATTCGTGCCTTTTGCGTGGTGAATTCTCCGTGTGACCGGGGCCTCTGTGTTATGATTCTGAAGAACTGGATTCCCTTTTGGAAACCTGGCCAAAGTTGTGATTCGGTGCAAAAAAGGAAAGCGTTCCCAGGCCTTGATGCTCCCGCCCGTGATCTGTCTTGGCTGCGTAGGGCTGGCCTGGGAGGGGGCCACAGCTGAGGGCAAGAGGACACCCCCCCCCCCCAATTCCCGTTCCACGGCGGCAGGCCTGGGAAAGGCCCCTTTCTCTCTCTGGCTGTGCCCGGGCCCAGCAACAGCTGCCTTTGGCTGAAGAAGACAGGGGCCTCCTGGAAGAGCTCAGCAAATGAGGCTCGACCATCGTGGTCCATTCTTTACCTTGGAGAAACGACGGCTGAGGGGTGATGTGATCGAGGTTTACAAGATGATGCATGGGATAGAGCAGGTAGAGAAAGAGGTACTTTTTACCCTTTCTCATAATACAAGAACTCGTGGGCACTCCATGAAATTCCTGAGCAGACGGGTTAGAACGGATAAAAGGAAGTCCTTCGTCACCCACAGAGTGATTCACACACGGAACTCACTGCCACAGGAAATGGTGGCGGCTACAAGCATGGGCGGCTTCTAGAGGGAATTAGATAAGCATATGGAGCAGAGGTCACTCAGTGGCTCTTAGCCACAAGGTATAGATAGGGACTCAGGCTGGGGCAAGGGATGCTCTGTATTCTTGGTGCTTAGGGGGGGCAACAGTGGGAGGGCTTCTAATGTCCTGGCCCCACTGCTGGACCTCCTGATGCCACCTGGTATTTTTGGCCACTGTGTGAGACAGAGTGTGGGACTGGATGGGCCACTGGCCTGATCCAGCACTGGCTTCTCTTATGTTCTTATAGGAACTCTTGGTCTGGGGCAAGTGATGCTCTGTCTTCTTGGTGCTTGGGGGGGGCAAGAGTGGGAGGGCTTCTGGTGTCCTGGCCCCACTGCTGGACCTCCTGATGGCCCCTGGTATTTCTGGCCACTGTGTGACACAGAATGTTGGACTGGATGGGCCACTGGCCTGATCCAACATTAGCGTCTCTTATGTTCTTATGTTCCCCCCATCCACCCACCCCACCCCTGGCGGCTGCTCTCCTCCACGGAAGGTGGGTGAGTGAGTGAGTGAGTGGGGAAGGGTGTGCTTGCAGGAGGGGCCCAGAGCCGCCTGTTCCTCCTTGCAGGTCATCCCTGGAAGATGTGGCTGCTTCTTCCTGCTGTGTTGGTTCTCTTCCTGGCCGCAGCTCTGAGGATCATTTACCCGTGGAAGAAAAGGTCGTCCCAAGGAGGTAGGGAGTCTCTCTCCAGCCCCCGTCAAGTTGTGTGTGCGTGTCCTTCCATCTTCCCCATGGAATAAACTTTGTTATGTTAAAACTCCATAGCTGTTCCCCTGGCAACGCCCGAGAAGGAAGGGTCTCCTCCTGTGCTTCAGTATGCGGAGCTGCGAAAGAGGAGGAGCCCCCCAGAAGGCAATGAGAACCAGGTGAGCTTGTCAGGTGCAGGACTGGGCCGTCCTCTCGGGATTCGTGTCCCTATAAACCCAACGTTGCTGCTTGACTTTTCTTTGCTGCTTGACCGGGTTTGATTCCCCATTCCTCCACTTGCAGCTGCTGGATGACCTTGGGCAAGCCATAGCTCTGATAAGAGCTGTCCTTGAAACCGCAGTTCTTGGAGGTACTCTCTCAGCCCCGCCCACCTCGCAGGGTGTCTGTTGTGGGGAGGGGGAGGGAGTTTGTAAGCCGCTCTGAGACACCTTCGGGTAGTGAAGGGCAGGGGGATAAATCAAATCTCCTCCTCCTCTTCTTCTTTTTCTTCTTCTTCTCTGGGAGAACCAACCAGGTTTGATTCCCCCACTCCTCCACTTGCACCTGGCTGGATGACCTTGGGCAAGCCGTAGTTCTGACAAGAGCTGTCCTTGGAAAAGAACAGTTTTTTTCTGTCAAGAGCTCTCTCAGCCCCACCTGCCTCACAGGGTGTCTGTCTGTTGTGGGGAGGGGAAGGGAAAGGAGTTTGTAAGACAGCTTGGTGTCCTGGTGAAGTGCGCAGACTCTAATCTGGGAGAGCCGGGTTGGATTCCCCACTCCTCCACTTGCACCTGCTGGTGTGACCTTGGGCAAGCCGTGGTTCTGACCAGAGCTGTCCTTAAAAAAAGAGCAGTTTCTGTCAGAGCTCTCTCAGCCCCACCTGCCTCACCAGGTGTCTGTTGCAGGGAGAGGGAGGGAAAGGAGTTTGTAAGCCGCTCTGAGACTCCCTTGGGTAGTGAAGGGCCATGGGGTATAAATCCAATCTCTTCTTCTTCTTCTTCTTCTCCTCCTCCTCCTCCTCACAGGGTGTCTGATGTGGGGAGGGGGAGGGAAAGGAGTTTGTGAGCTGCTCTGAGACTCCCTTGGGTAGTGAAGGGCCATGGGGTATAAATCCAATCTCTTCTTCTTCTTCCTCCTCCTCCTCCTCCTCCTCACAGGGTGTGTGTTGTGGGGAGGGGAAGGGAAAGGAGTCTGTGAGCCGCTCTGAGACTCCCTTGGGTAGTGAAGGGCCATGGGGTATAAATCCAATCTCTTCTTCTTCTTCTAACCTGCACAGAGTTTCTTTTGAAACGGAGGCGGTGTTAATCACCCCCGCATTACAGCTCAGGCTGAGAGGAGGCGTTGGCTAGGGCCAGCCAGGGACCCGAACCCCTCTCCCACACCTGCTCTCTACATGTTAGGAGAAATTCTGGTCCCCCTCCTGCCCCAGAGGAGCTTTCGTCAAAGAGCAACAGGTTGCTTTCCCTCCTGGAGAATCCCCCGTGACCACTCACTGAGAGATGCTCCGGCTCACTTCCAAAACCACTGGCGGAGTCACGGTCCCAATGCTGGGGGTGGGAGACTGGGGTGGAGGTGGAAAGAGATGCGTCCTGCAGACTCAGTGCCGGGACTGACCTCAGCTGGACTTGGCCTTCTGGCCTGTTAGTGGGAATCGACAACCCAACAACTGGTTGCCGCGCTCTCGTTTAAAGGCACGTCCACACTCCGGACTGCAGTTTTAAACCCCAGTTTCAAAGGACACGGGGATTCATGTGTTGCCCTTGTTCCCTCTCCGCTCTGTTCCTCCCCCCCCCATCCCCTCCCTCTGGTCCTGTTTCCCTTCCTTATCCCCCTGGTGCTCTGGATCGTCCACCTGTACTGTTCTGGGCCTTGCGTCTCATGTTTCCCATTTCCTGGGACCTTCTGCCTGCCCTCTCTAGGATCACGGGGGAAATAAAATAAGCTCACCGAAGAAAACTACTGTTCTATGACTTTAATGTACTAGGGTCCCTGCCACACGGCAGGAAAAGCGACGGGCGAAGTGCGGCTAATCTGAGCTGCACCAAAGTTGAGACAACTCGGCGGGATCCCACGGATCCCCTGAGCCACGGCGCCATTGCTCCCTGGCATGATCAGATGCCGGGGAGAAAGCGATGGCGGGAAGGGGAGGCTGGCGAACTGTGCATGCTCACACATGCGCAGTTCGGCCAGGAGCAGGGGATACACCGATGCAAGGACGTGCCGGCGATCCCACGGCTGCACTTGCCGCGGCCCGTCAGCATGAACCACCCAGGTAGGTGGTTCTTTTTTGGTGCGGGGTTTCGGGCGGGAGGGACGGAACGGGGATGGCCGGGCAACGATTCCCAGATGTTGCCGTGGGATCGCGCCCATTTGCCACGCATCCGTTCCGTCCCTCTCCCGGCCCATTTCCTCGCATGTGACCGGGGCCTTGGCTGCACTTATTTATAGTGCAAATTTCTCATATTACACAACAATCGTCCTTATGTAAAGTACATGCCATAAACATAGGCAGTATAGCAAAAATGAGAGCTCACGGGAGGAGACTATAAATATGAAGACACTCCATGAATGAATTACGAACAGAAGCAGAAAACTTATAGTGTATGATACAATTCAAACAATTTGGAATCTTTGTTAAAGAACCATTATATATATATATATTTTAAAGAGCTAGGATCAGAAAGTACTTAATACAAAGGGAGAATACAATTAGAGTCCACAATTCCTTTGTATAAAAGACTTCAGGAGTACAATAGTTCCACGTCTTATGCAAGTACAGCTATACACGGCTGGCTTCACTGCCGTGTTCATGTTTCGCTTCTTCAGATACCTGGTACTCCTTAGCTGTGAACTGAAAATTATATTTCCATGTCATATTTACTATATTACAGCATATTAACTATATCCCCAGTTGTCAGCACATACATGCTCACTGAAATAGAGTTTCAACAATTCTCCTTCACTAGTTTTCTATTCGCTCCACTGATAGATTCTCTTTCTGCCGATTAGGCTTCTGCAATAATGTTGGTGATTAACACACAACATATGCCATTAAGTATGTACTGACAATGTGGAGTCACAATATTCTGATACAAGTTACATCAGTACATAATATCCTATTTTATATTTTTATATTTCTAAGAATGAAGTTTCTAACAAACTGGTGGGTGAACCGAAGGAAGGAAAACTGAACTGAGATAACCTACTTACTTACAGAATTTTATAAGAAACAACTTAAAATCAAAACCAGTATTTAAACCATTAGGGATCAAGGTGTTTAATTTAAAGAGCCACCTGAGTTCCTGACGAAGTAATTCCTTCATAACCAATGGGTGTTTTGAGTCTGCAACAAAGACTCATTTTTGATATAGGCAATGGCGTGAGTACAATACAAAATCTTGATGCAAATATTCTTGACACTGTTTGGGCTATGCTCCTGGAATGTTTTCTTCTTCAAGGCGTCTTGATCATCTTGTGGTACCTGGCAGGAGAGAGTCTGGGTTTTCCCCTCTCTCCCCAAACCCGGGCAGGAGTTCTACGGCGAAGCCCGACTTTCTCCAGTAGACCTTACACACGTGACCGTCTTCCCCAGGAACTGCCGGGGTCTTTTGGGGACAGCAGAGTTTGACTCCAGTGAAATCCCCTCCCTGAACTGGTTTTGGGACATGGGAGAGAGACCCCCTGCTGACGTGGCTAGAAAAACTTATGTTTGTGGTAGAGGCATACCCATAGTACGTTGGGCTCCCGTGACGGAAACAGGACAAAAGACAAACAGGTTATCAGGGAGAAGAGAAGCTTTGCAGAGGGACAGGGAAATGGCTGAAATGCCAAACAGACCTCACATTGAGCTGGGAGTGAGTTTGAGGATTCCATGGCGGAAGCTGGGTCATTTGTTTATGGTACGAACAGATGGTGAGGCAGGCTATCAACCAAGAGAAGCCCGTTGCCAGTGCTTGCATAGGGAAATGTCAATATTTGGATATGGCTCTTTCCGATCAGGATGTGAACTTTGGCCTTCCTGGTCTCTGGAGTTCTGGCTCAGGGCCCAAAAAAAAGAGGGGCTGCAGGTGAGCGGAAGAGCAGAAAGATGCCAGGAGGTGTGAGGAAGGACCTTTCTCTCCTGAGACCCTGGGAAGAGCAGGCTGCTCTGACTACAAAGGACCAAGAGGCTTTCCCGGTTGCAGGCGGCACCCAGACAGTTGCGCGTGTGTGTGTGGGGGAGATACCAGGGTGCCTCCTCCTGAGCATCATCCAGCCTTGCGCTCTTCCGGGGCTGCATCCACAGTGTGACGCTTCCCCGTTGTGCGGTCATAGCTGGGAGAGTTCAGAGGCCTTCCTAGTGACACAGGAGCGTCTGCACAGGAGCCATCTCCGTGCTTTCCTCATCACCCCCCTTATCTCCTGCTGTTTCGACTCCCCTAGTCCAACCACATGTCACCGGAGGACTTTTCAGCAGCTTGAAAAGAAATGGATTTGGCGGAGGGGGGGGCGTGGGAGGGCTTCTAGTGTCCTGGCCCCACTGCTGGTCCTCCTGAGGGCACCTGGTATTTTTGGCCACTGTGTGACACAGAGAGTGCGGTCAGACTGCTTGCTGGGAGCAGTTTAAATTGCTCCTGCCCTGATGCGACCTTTTTTAACCCAGAGAATCACGATCACACTCACGTCCTTGCTCCGGATCGCTGCATAGCCACATTGCTCCCCACTGTCCACACACGGGAGCGTGCGTCACTGTTGTTTTCCTCTCTCTCTCAGTTTGGGCATGCACACAGGCAGTAGGCTTGCCAAATCCCCCCGGGGGGCGGGGAAACCCCCGCCCCAGAGGCCCGTTCCCCGCCGCTGCTGGATCGGGCCCCGGGGGGAACTCCACCCTGATGTGCACGTCACCAGGAAGTGACGCGACCACGCCGAGCACGCTTAGGGCAGGGCCACGGTCATCCGAGGGAAAACTCTATGGTTTTCCCTCGGATGGTCGTGGCCCCGCCCCCAGCGTGCCTGGCGTGGTCACGTCACTTTCTGGTGATGTGGATGTGGCGCGCGCGCGCTCCAGAATTGACCCAGGAGTCCCCCACTTCAGGACAAGGTACGACTTGGCAACCCTAACAGGCAGCCATCTGTAGAACCAAAATTTTTGTGCGTGTGCAGAACAGTGATTGCCACTTCAACCCGACTGCTGTAACAC